CTAGAACATGTCTCATCTGCTTTAGAGTTTAAAGACGAAAACACTGGGATTATGTAACTCACCTAAGATCACAGAGCTGGCCAGAAACAGCTGGGGTCTTCAGGTCTGTCTGATTTCAGCTCCATGGTCTTCAGGGAAGAGGCAGGAGGAGTTGGTTGAGGAGGAGGGAGGAACTTGGATGTGCAGAGAAGGTGAGCCCCCCTTCGCTCTCACCCCCCACCCCACCCCCATATAGCAACCGGTGTCGGGGCTAAAACTCAGCCGGGGGAGGGTGGGTGAGATGAGGGCCCTGGCACAGCCGTGTTAGTCAGCCCTCTCCCTGCCTGACGCTGGCAGGCACAGCATCATCTGTCAGCTTTGAGGTGTGGACCTGGGGACGTCAATACCAATTAAGTTCCCAAGGTTTCCTATTAATGAACATCAGTTTCTCAGCCCTGAGGCAGGACTCGTTTGCAAGCTGCCAGCTGGATCCAAGATGGCCTGAGGCCAGAGGGCCAGGCTGTGCAGGCTGGGTTGTGTCTTGGGTGAGGACAAGCCTGATTTATTGAGGGATCTGCTTGGTGCCATGTTGTTTCAGTGGCCCAGGCTCAGTGGAGGTGTGAGACAGAAGCAGGAGGAAGGGGTGAGCGGCACAGTGCCAGCTTGGAGTACCTGGGGTGCTCTGGATGGCAGGGGTACTGGGCATTGGGTGGACCTGCCAGGTCAACTCAGAGAGGTGGCATAGAGGAGGGGTCAAGGCGGACTTGGAGCCACACTGTCGGGTTGGAATCCTAGCTCCTGCACCTCCTGGCCCTGACCTCACTGAGCCTCAGTGGCCTGCAGCACTCAGCTCTCTGCCTGAGCGGGGCCCCATTGGAGGCACGCTGCCAGCCATACGTGAGGTTTAAGGGCTCCCCCAGGCGGATCCTGGTCTCCAGCTGAGGAGGCATGGCTCATCCACCTCTGACCCCCTGGATGTGTTGACTGGCAAGTCTGTCCCCAGCACCTGGCATCCTCTCGGCTTCCATAGTGGAGAGTCACCGGGCTGGCACGGGCCAGTCATAGAGATGAGAGAACACTCCGGTCCCTGGTCTGGGCAGGATTCTTTTGCTTCCCTGAGCCCGTTTCCTCATCTGTAGAGTGAGCTGCCCCCTCCACTGCAGGCACTGAGGCCTGGGTGTCAGCTGGTGAGCCGGTATCAGGTGTTTGGGCTGCAATGCCCTTTGGGTCCCACAGCTGGTGGGGAGCAGGGTCTTTGTTGGGGTGACCCAGGCATCGGTCCAGCCTCCTTGCCTCCTCACCCTGGCATGGGCTCAGCATCTGAAACAGTCTGGGGAGCAGGCAGCCCTGGGGGGGACAGGGACTTTCTCCCAGAGGTGCTTTTTCCAGAGCTCCTGGTGCCTGCTGGGTGAGGACACATCTGACCTCCGGTTGGAGTGACATCCCCCGAGGGCTCCCGGACTGTGAGAGGGCGCAGGCTGGGCTGAGGGACACCCCCCCCCCCCGCACGAATTTTGTGCACTGGGCCTCTAGTTTCTAATATGAACAAATGTGAGATATAAAGCAAAGGACGCTCTCAGAAGGTGAAATCAACAACGATGGATTTCTTCTTGCTGCTCCCCCCCCCCACCCGTTCCCCACCTCCCCCACAGACTCAGTAACTCCTGGAACAGCTGGTAACAGAACTAACTCCTGTGTGGGCGACCTCTGTGGAGTTCTCCCTCCTGCCCCCGCCAGCCCAGCCAGCTCAGGGTCCTCTGTGTTTTCTGACTCACTTCAATGTCGGGGGCTGACACGAACTGCCTAGCTCTTATAGATCTGGGGGTGCAGGATAAATCCTGGCTGGAAACTGGGCAAGGCAGATTGTTTGGCTGCCTCCCTGTCTGGCCTATAAGCCACCTTCACCTGTCAAGCCCTTTGTTCACTGTCTGCGTGGCCAGGGAGGGAGTTGCCAACGATCCCTTCGCCTGCCCCAGCGGCCTGTTCTCATGGTTACTTGGCTATAGGGCCAGGGGTGGATGGGTGGGGCACCCCTGGGATGGAGGATGTCAATTTCCAGGTGGGGATGCTTTGGTTCAGCCAAGGACTTGGGAGTTAGCCAGGGATTCTCCACGTCAGGCTGCCCTGGAAACACACACAGTCACCTCAGGGCAGCCTCAGTCTTGGCATGGCCGCCCCCCAGCTCTGCCAGTACCAAGCAGCTGCCCTTGGGGATAACGGGCCCAGAAGGGCCAGACAGTCCCCAGGAGGTCCTTGGCAGGCCCCTCACCTATCTGCTCCCCAAGCCCCTAACCTTGCCCTAGCCAGTTGCTCAGTGGTTAGAACGTTGGCCTGAGGACTGAAGGACTGCGGGTTTGATGCAGATCAAGGGCACGTACTTTGGTTGCAGGCTTGATCGCTAGCCCTGGTTGGAGTGCGTGCAGGAGGCAACCAATCCATGTGTCTCGCATGTCAATGTTTCTCTTTTTCTGTCTCTCGCCCTCCCTTCTGCTCTCTCTAAAAAAATTCTTGGGTGAGGATTAACAGCAGAGTTCCTAACCTCTTATTTTATTTTTTAAATATATTTTATCGATTTTTTACAGAGTGGGAGAGGGATAGAGAGTTAGAAACATCAATAAGAGAGAAACACTGATCAGCTGCCTCCTGCACACCCCCCACTGGGGATGTGCCCGCAACCCTGGTACACGCCCTTGACCGGAATGGAACCCGGGACCCTTCATTCCGAAGGCTGGTGCTCTCTCCACTGAGCCAGACCGGCCAGGGTCCTAACCTCTTCCGAGTGTGGATCGTGCTGATAATGAAAGCTATGGCCTCTCTTATCAGAAACACACGTGTGCACTCCACACAACATCCTGCATCGCGTCAGGGAGTTCGCACCTTCCGAAGGGCCCCTTAATTGAACCCCTTGGGCCGGAGGTTGAGAAATCTGGCTCAGCTCTCTCCAGGGTGACCGGGCCCTGGGGGTGCGGTGGGCCAGGCCCAGAAAAGCAGGTCCCAAGAGAAGGAGCCCCTCTCAAGTCCTCCCTCCTGCCCCTGCTCCACTGCGGGGACTCTCCCTGCCCAGCCCCACTGCGGAGGCCATGGCCAGAGGAGGCCGTGTCCAGGCACAGGCCGCGCAGTCCCTGCGGGAAGGGAAGCTCACCCAAGGCCCTTGCGCCTGAGTGGGAGGGAGCTGATAACGGACAGAAAGGAAGGGGAGAAGCTGCCCCATCCTGCACCCCTCCTCCTCGCTCCCTCACTCCCCAGCGGCTCCCCTCACTGACCGCTCCCCTCACTGACCCGCTCCCCTCACTGACCACTCCCCTCACTGACCGCTCCCTCACTGACCGCTCCCCTCACTGACCGCTCCCCTCACTGACCGCTCCCCTCACTGACCCGCTCCCCTCACTGACCGCTCCCTTCACTGACCCGCACCCCCCACTGACCGCTCCCTCACTGACCGCTCCCCTCACTGACCGCTCCCTCACTGACCGCTCCCCTCACTGACCGCTCCCTCACTGACCGCTCCCTCACTGACCGCTCCCCTCACTGACCGCTCCCCTCACTGACCCGCTCCCCTCACTGACCGCTCCCTCACTGACCGCTCCCCTCACTGACCCGCTCCCCTCACTGACCGCTCCCCTCACTGACCGCTCCCCCACTGACCGCTCCCCTCACTGACCGCTCCCCTCACTGACCGCTCCCCTCACTGACCGCTCCCCTCACTGACCCGCTCCCCTCACTGACCGCTCCCCTCACTGACCCGCTCCCCTCACTGACCGCTCCCCTCACTGACCCGCTCCCCTCACTGACCGCTCCCCTCACTGACCCGCTCCCCTCACTGACCGCTCCCCTCACTGACCCGCTCCCCTCACTGACCGCTCCCCTCACTGACCGCTCCCCTCACTGACCCGCTCCCCTCACTGACCGCTCCCCTCACTGACCGCTCCCCTCACTGACCGCTCCCCTCACTGACCGCTCCCCTCACTGACCCGCTCCCCTCACTGACCGCTCCCCTCACTGACCGCTCCCCTCACTGACCGCTCCCCTCACTGACCGCTCTTCACTGACCGCTCCCCTCACTGACCGGCTCCCCTCACTGACCGCTCCCCTCACTGACCGCTCCCTTCACTGACCCGCTCCCCTCACTGACCCGCTCCCCTCACTGACCGCTCCCCTCACTGACCCGCTCCCCTCACTGACCGCTCCCCTCACTGACCGCTCCCCCACTGACCGCTCCCCTCACTGACCGCTCCCCTCACTGACCGCTCCCCTCACTGACCGCTCCCCTCACTGACCCGCTCCCCTCACTGACCGCTCCCTTCACTGACCCGCTCCCCTCACTGACCCGCTCCCTTCACTGACCACTCCCTTCACTGACCCGCTCCCCTCACTGACCGCTCCCTTCACTGACCCGCTCCCCTCACTGACCGCTCCCCTCACTGACCGGCTCCCCTCACTGACCGCTCCCCTCACTGACCGCAGCGCAGGCAGCCCCTCACTCACAGCAGCAGCATCTCACTGCATCATCTGCCCGCCCCCGCCCCCCCTTGAGGTCACAACACTTCCCCTTGAGGTCACAACACTTCCCCTCCTCAACCCGCCCGCCTGGTGGAGCTTCGGCTTCCCCCACAGGGGCCCGGAGGCAGCGGGGCTGGTGTCTCCTACCTACAGAGGCCCTTTTTCTTCAGGGTCTGGGAGCGGCTGGGTTCCAGTTTAATTCAGATCTGAGCAAGCTGGGATTTGGGGAGCAAGCTCCCCTCCTCTGAAAAGTAGCCAGAATCCCGATTTGGTGGGAGGGACAGTGGGGCAGAACTGGAGTGGACACGACTGATGACCCAGAACAAGTCTGCCCTCACGCTGTCATCAGACGGCTCCTGGGAGGGCTGGCCAGGCTGTGCCTTCCCTTGGTCCACGACAAGGGCATGTGCTCCTGTGGCGGGGGGTGGGGTGGGGGGGGCGTGGGGGGGTACCTCCTTCCCAGGGAGTTTTGAGCCTTTCCCAGTATATCAGTTTCCTGCAACAAATGACCACAGACTTAGTGGCTTAAAACAACACACATTTATTCTTACAGTTCGGTGGTCAGAATTCTAAAATAGTCTGACTGGGCGAGTCAAGTTGTCGGCAGGGCTGGTTCCTTCCGAGGGGAATCCATTTCCTTGCCTTTTCTAGCTCTGGAGGCCGCCGGCATCCCTTGGCTTGTGACCCCTTCCTGGTATGAACAGCTTCTTGCTCCATCACCGTACCCCTACCTGCTCTCTGGCCTGCTTCCTCTCATACGATCCCTGGGATCACAGCAGGCCCACCCGGACCATCAGGGTAACCGCCTTGTCCGAGGACCCTAACGTATGACATCTGCCAAGTCTTTTTGCCGTAAGAGGCACAGGTTCCTGGGATGAGAACACGGACACCTTGGGGGCCGCTACTCAGCCCCCTACAGCTAGGCTCCAGGCCCTCCTGGCCCTCATGACTGGGAGAAAAAGGGTTGGGCTTCTCTGCTCTGGTTAAGCAGGGCCCTTCCTAACCTTGTATTTCTAGGGTCTAGGCTTTCCCAACCCTCTCCTTCCACCCAGAGAAGCTCACGCAATGTGTCCTTGGAAGTCAGGTGCCAAGTGTCAATCTAATGCTGGTGAGAGGTGCAGGGCCATCCAAGAAGCTCTGTAGGCCCGAGGGCACCTGCCTGAAGCCACACCCTGCTGGCTGCAGCAAGCCCATGACTGGGAGGAAGAGACAGGGGCGGGTCTGGGGCCTGCCGAGGGTGCCAGGAAGACCACGGGGTGGGTGAGCCCTGCTAGGCCCGCGCCAGTCGGCCAGAGCTGAGCTGTGGCTGCAGTGCCGCGGGGGTCAGAGGAAGAAGCTGGGGCTGTGGTCCTGGCTCGGAGATGATGGAGACCATGGCTGGGAGAGGCTCTGGGTTGGTGAGAGCATCTCTGGCCCATAGCATCTGGGCTGAGGACGATGGCCTTGCAGACAAGTGCAGCTCCCAAGTCCCAGGCGCCAGGCTTTTCTTTGTGACGAGAGCAGGTGGGCAGGGTGGGCAGGGGCAGGGTGGGAGGCAGGGAGCCCCTCTTGCTACCTCTTCTCCATGCTCTGCATCTGCAAGCTGAGGGAGGTGAAGCTGGCCAGGAGGTCGGTCACCTCATCCACCTGCGGGACAAAAGGGCGGCTCTGTCATGAGATTCCAAGACCAGCCTCAGTGCCAGGCCCCCAGGCCTCCTTCCCAACACCACAGGCCAGGGCAGGCATTGTCTCTCCTCCCAAGGCTTGTGGTGGCTTCACTGTGACTGTGGACAGCTGCCCAAGGGTCAGTCCTCGACATCAGGTGGCCTCAGACCCAGAGAGAAGGGCCACCAGCAGCTTCAAAGGAAGTGGGCAGAGGCTTGAGGTCCCAGGGGCTGCAGCCCACAGCCACGGCCTCTTCTGCGATGAGGGTCTGGCTGCTCAGGATGGACGGCCCCTGTGGCTCCTGCCAGACCCGGCCTGGCCCTGCGGCCACGCTCACCTGCTCTCTGGTGCTCGTCATCTGGAGGCGGGTGCACAGGTCGTCCAGCCGCTCCCGCTGCTCGTGCCGCCCCAGGCGCTCCAGGTACTCCCTCAGCATCTGGATGATCTGAAACGAGAGGGCGGGCTGGGCTGTGGGGTCCCAGCTCGGAGGCACAGAGAGGTCTGACGCTGCAGCCAAGAGGCCCAGTGGAGCCGGTACCAACCGCGGTCAGAGTGAAGTGACCCGGGAGCTGTGGCGCTGGAGGCGGGGTGTCTGTGGTGAGGGCAGCACCTGTCCGCTGCTGGCTGGGTGCCATGGCGCAGCATGAGAGGGGCACTCACCTGCTTCACCTCCAGCCGCACGGCTTCCAGGCACTGGGAGTGGCCTTCCTGCAGGATGCTCAGCTTCGACTTGGCCAGGTGCAGGGGCGTGCGGCCAGCTCGGTCCAGGGCATCGACCCGGGCCCCTGTGGGAGCAGGCAGAGGTGAGCACACTGGGGGAGAGGGTGCGAGAGGAGGGAGAAGGGGAAGGTGCCACATACCTCCTCGTAGCAGCGTGGTGATGACAGGGACGTGGTTGGTGCAGGCCGCTGAGGAAGAACAGGGGCTTGAGTGCAGGACCAGCAGGGCCTGGCCCTGTGTGCCTGCTGGAGGGAGCAGGACTGTCTCCGAGTTGCCTGTGCCAGGTCATGCCTCCTGGAAGGCATCACCAAAGCAGCAACTCGGTGGGACTCGGCAATCAAGTCTGGCTCCCTCCCTGTGCCATGAGGACAGAGGCTTGGAGCTGGTACTGGCCCATTAGCCGTGAGTGAATCAGCCACAGGGCAGGAACCAGCTGCAGGTCTCACCGCCCCGAGCAGAGCTGCTGCTGAGCCATTTAGGTGCCTAAACCAGCTAAGCTCAGGGCACAGCCAGCTAGTGACTGACAGGGCAGTCCGTGGCACAGTCACTGGGAGCTAAGGCTCTTCCTAGATGCTAGGAGATCCCGCCGGGAGCCTGCAGGACGCCAGGCTCTTCATCAAAGGAGCCTGTCTGAGCCACAGAGAAGGGTGTCTTGGCAGCTCTTCAGGCACTTACCCAGGTGCAGTGGCGTGTTCCCCAGCCCATCTCGCTGGTTGGGATCGGCCCCATGGTCCAGGAGCAGCTGCACTGGAAATGGGAAAACCCAAGAGGAGCTGTCAGAGGCTCCTATGGACTGGACCCTAACCCCCAGCCCTAGCCTAGCTGCAGAGGCTCAAAGTGTGGATATGGAAACCAAACATGGTCCCTTATGTTGTTTCATTCATTCTCTCACTCACAGAGTTCATGTGCAGGACGCTGAGGGCCAGGAACTAAGCACTCCGGGAGGGCCTCCTGCCCTATGCAGTGTTACAGGACTAAGATTTTTTTTTGGGGGGGGGGGATTTTTTCTTTATTGAATTTATTGGGGTGACATTGGTTAATAGAATTATACAGGCTTCATGAGTACAATTCTCTAATACATCATCTGTAGATGGTATTGTGTGTTCTCCACCACAAGGCAATCTTCAATCATCATTTATCACCCCTTTACCCTCCCCCCCCCCAACCCCTTTCCCTCTTGTAATCACCATACTTCTGTCTATGTGTGGCTTCTTTATATCCTTAGTTGTAGGACTTCTGTTCATCTAGATTCTGGGTGGTTCTGAATGATGGTTGTTCTGTAGTTTACCTGTATTTTTGATGTGGTTGTGTGCGGATGTGAGACCGCATTTACCTACGTTGTCATCTTGACCGGAAGCCATGCTTTCAATTTTTATTTCCCTAGTGATTAATAATGTTCAATATATTTTTTGTTTTTTGATGATTTATTTATCCTTTGTGATGTGCCTGCTCAAATCTTAATCCAGGTGGTGATGACACCAGTGTAGACATATAGGAAGTTCGGTTTATACGTTACACCACACCCCAAAGAGACTCCCCAATAAAAGGGCCGTCCCGCTGCAGGTCTTGGCACTGAGTAGGTGTGGCCTGACATCTTGAAGCACTGGCCCCAACCTCGGAGGCAATCCTAGTCTTTTCCCAGGTGAACCCCTTCCCCAGTCTCAGTGCCAGATCCACGGCTCAGGGGGAGGAGCGGGCACCACCCCGGCTGTGCAGACGGGTCTTCCCCAGCTCCTCCGGAGAGATGCTATTTCCGCTCACTCCTCTCCCTCTAGGACTCACCAATCTGGTCATTGCCATTGCAGGAGGCGAAGTGGAGAGCCGTGCGGCCCTTGTCATCCGCTGCACAGGGATCTGCACCATCTTCCAGCAGCTGCTGCACTGGGACCACCAAGACAAAGGGAGGTGGGGGTGGGGGGGAGTGACCGTGTTAGCTAAGCTGCAGTCCCAGGGGATGGAGGGATGCTCAGGGGCCTTCCAGGCAAGGCACTGATCATGCATGGGAGAGCCTGTCCCTCCTGGGTGCGTGCCCCACAGGGACTACCATCAAGGACTTGTTCCCCTGAGGGCACAACGGATGGCCAGACTCTGGGTGCTGACTCTGGGTGCTCAAACTACTTGTCTAGGGAGAGGACATCGTAGAAGGAATTCCAGAGCCACAGAAATGCCCAGTCCCAGGCCACTACCTGAATTTAGAGGCACACCTACTCCAGCTGGACACGACTGCCCCAGCTGTTTGAGGCTTGCTTTGCTCCCAGGAGGCAGCCCTTTAGAGCGGACAGAGCAGAGGTTCTGGAGCCACACAGACTAAATCCCAGGCTAAGCGAAGCTAAAGAGAAAGGAAGACACTGCCGATAGCATGGGCAGTGAAAGAGCTGGGCTGGGAGCGAGAAGACCCAGATCTGGGCTCTAATTTACCACCAAATGGGAGTGATCTCTGCCCTGCCACACTCCAGAGCTGCTGTGATGAGAATAATGGATGTGACATTCCTTCTTCGAAAAGCATGGAGCCATTTTAAAATGTGAGGCATTAGCTATTACATGTCCAACTAAAATGTAGAAATTGCTGCCAGACGTGATTTTAGGGCAAGCAACATTTTCGTCTGCCTCTGCAAACCTCTCAAGGACTTGAGTCCTTCCAGACAAAGCCCAGAGATCTCCTCCTCCATGAATCCTCCTGTCTCCTCAAGCTGAGTTAGCCAGTCCCTGTCCTGCTGCTCAGTGCCCTGTCCATCCTGCTGCTCTAATATTAACCTGCTGTTTAGAGCAATCGCTACTGTACACTGAGCCCCAGCCTGGTGTCAGGTGTCTGACTGCTAGGCCCCTGGGTCCCCAGCAAGGTCTCCCGTCCATTTGACAGACCAGGAGGCTCCAGCACAGGGGACACAGGTTCAGGCCACGCTGGGATGTAAACCCAGGCTTCTCTGGCTCCAGAACTAACTCCTCCCCAGCTGAATACCTAACTCTGTTTTTTTGGGGAGTTTTATCTTAGAAATGGTATTGCTTTAATATTCTTCTGCTCCAACTACGTTGTAGGGGTTTTGTTTTATCTGAATACCTTAACATTACTTACCTGTTCAATGAATGTTGCTGGCTGAGTGGATAAATGAATGAAGGAAAAGGTTGGGAGAGTGGAGGAGAAATAAGAGCTTCAGGCTATCTTAGTGTTCATCAGTGCAATCACCAAAAGACAGCCAGTATCACAGAGACAGAAAGCTAAAGTATCCAGTCTATTTTGTGATTTGTGCAGTTATAGTCTTCGGAAAGCATTTTAGCAACATCTATCAGTAGTCATCAAAACAGGCATACTCTTTGATGTAATAATCCCATACCTGGGAAATTAGAAATGAAATACCAACGTGCAAATATATGACGAAATCACACTTTTTTTGCCCTCCTTTCTTTTGTTAATCCTCAACCAAGGATTTTTTAAAAATATTTTTTTATTGATTTCAGAGAGGAAAGGAGAGGGAGAGAGACTGAAACAACAATGAGAGAGAATCATTGATCGGCTGCCTCCTGCATGCCCCCTACTGGGGATTGAGCCTGCAACCAGGGCATGTGCCCTGACCAGGAATGGAACCATGACCTCCTGGTTCTTAGGGCCACACTCAACCACTGAGCTATGCCTGGCCAGACCGAGGATATTTTTCCACTGATTTTTAGAAAGAGTGAAAGGGAGGGGGAGAGAGAGAGAAACATCGATATGAGAGCGACATATCGATCGGTTCCTCCTGCACGTGCCCCAACATGGGCTGGGGATCAAGCTTGCAACCGAGGTACATGCCCTTGACCTGAATTGAATGTGGGACCCTTCAGTCTGCAGGCTGACACTCTATCCCTGAGACAAACTGGTTAAGGTGTTTTTGCCCCTTTAAAGGCATAGTGTGCATCCATTAAATATTGTGATTATGACTGGGGAATGGAATTATAAAATGTTTTTTTGCTCTGTATAAGCTTTAGAAGTATCACTTAGTCATACATTCATTTTATAAATAGGAATAAATGATGCTTCCATTTTGAAAAACAAATGGTTACAAGGACTATGGAAAATGTTTATGATATACAAAAATTGTGTGGGCTACGAAATTGTGTATACAGCACAGTGTGCAAGCCCATGAAGAAAATTCCTCTGTGTAGGAAGAACCGGAAGGATAGTCACCAAAACATGAATAGAGATTAGTTCCTCTCCTAACATTATGGATGTTTTGCTTGTATAGTTCTCTAATTTCCAAAACATTTTAAGTGCATATATTATTTCCATATTTAAAATATTTTAGAAGGGAGAACCAAGATGGCGGCATAGGTTAACACCGGAGTTTGCTGCTTTGAACAACTACTTCAAAAGTGAAACCAAAAAACGGAAGGGACATCACCCAGAACCACAGGAACGCTGGCTGAGTGGAAGTCCTACAACTAGGAGGAAAGAGAAACGCATACGAACACTCAGAGGAGGCACAGTGCTGAAGTCAAATTCTGAGGTGCGGAGTGCGCGGAGCGGGCTGGCAGCGGAGGGCGCGGTTGGCGTTTTCAATCGGGAGGGAGTCGCAGACTCTGAGCTCCAGATACGGGCGAGTCTTTAGGGACCCAGACTCAAACGGGAGAAGCGGGACTGTCTGGCTTCGGTCAGAGCGAGTGCAGCTTTCTCTCTGAGCTTTGCAGCGGGTGCTGGGACTCAGAGAGGCAGAGCCCCTGGGGACAGGACTGAGAGCCGCCATAACTGCTCTCTCCGGCCCACCCTGTTGATCCTGTGCGACCCGCCCCGCCCAAGCCCTGCACACAGGCATTTGCCGGATAGCCTCAGGCAAAGGCTAGATTAGCCCCTCCCTAGAGGACAGAAGTTCTCTCACTGCTGACACAGCTGATTCTCATAGCCACTTGGCCTGGAGGTAAAACCCTCCCTGGTACTAGCTACAACAATCAAGGTTTAACTATAAGACTGCGCACAAAGACCACTAGGGGGTGCACCAAGGAAGCATAACAAAATGCGGAGACAAAGAAACAGGACAAAATTGTCAATGGAAGATATAGAGTTCAGAACCACACTTTTAAGGTCTCTCAAGAACTGTTTAGAAGCCGCCGATAAACTTAATGAGATCTACAAGAAAACTAATGAGACCCTCGATCTTATATTGGGGAACCAACTAGAAATTAAGCATACACGGACTGAAATAACGAATATTATACAGACTCCCGACAGCAGACCAGAGGAGCGCAAGAATCAGGTCAATGATTTGAAATGCGAGGAAGCAAAAAACACCCAACCGGAAAAGCAAAATGAAAAAAGAATCCAAAAATGCGAGGATAGTGTAAGGAGCCTCTGGGACAGCTTCAAGCGTACCAACATCAGAATTATAGGGGTGCCGGAAGATGAGAGAGAGCAAGATATTGAAAACCTATTTGAAGAAATAATGACAGAAAACTTCCCCCACCTGGTGAAAGAAATGGACTTACAGGTCCAAGAAGCACGGAGAACCCCAAACAAAAGGAATCCAAAGAGGACCACACCAAGACACATCATAATTAAAATGCCAAGAGCAAAAGATAAAGAGAGAATCTTAAAAACAGCAAGAGAAAGAAACTCAGTTACCTACAAGGGAATACCCATACGACTGTCAGCGGATTTCTCAACAGAAACTTTGCAGGCCAGAAGGGAATGGCAAGAAATATTCAAAGTGATGAATACCAAGAACCTACAACCAAGATTACTTTATCCAGCAAAGCTATCATTCAGAATTGAAGGTCAGATAAAGAGCTTCACAGATAAGGAAAAGCTAAAGGAGTTCATCACCACCAAACCAGGATTATATGAAATGCTGAAAGGTATCCTTTAAGAAGAGGAAGAGGAAGAGGAAGAAAAAGGTAAAGATACAAATTATGAACAACAAATATGCATCTATCAACAAGTGAATCTAAGAATCAAGTGAATAAATAATCTGATGAGCAGAATGAACTGTTGATTATAATAGAATCAGGGACATAGAAAGGGAATGGACTGACTATTCCTGGGGGGGAAAGGGGTGTGGGAGATGCGGGAAGAGACTGGACAAAAATCGTGCACCTATGGATGAGGACAGTGGGTGGGGAGTGAGGGCGGAGGGTGGGGCGGGAACTGGGAGGAGGGGAGTTATGGGGGGGAAAAAAAAAGAGGAACAAATGTAATAATCTGAACAATAAAGATTTATTGATAAAAAAATAAAAACAAACAAAAAAAAAAAAAAAATATTTTAAATGATTATGAACTCACAGAAAAGCACTTATGATTTAACAATAGCAAGGGATAAATGTTGTGCCCACTGTAATTGCTAAACTATACAAAAAAAACCCCCACAATAATAAATATGCAGAGAAAGAAAGAAAAATGCTAATCCCACAGCCAGTTTCGCCATCAGAGTCCTGCTAGAGCCTGGTAAACCTGAGAGCCATTTAGCTGTGAAGATGGGTGTGTCAGGGGCTCTGAATGGACAACTGCATCCTTCCTATCACAACAATAAAACCACCACGCGAACACCGGATTCAAGGTGAACCAGCCTTGGTGCGCTCTCCCTCCCAGGAGCACACCCTCCCCAGGCGCGTTTCCTTCACCCTTCTCTCTCCTGAGCTCCAAGGGCCCCTTCTGTTGCCTCTGTAACTCGTTTCCTGAGCCCATTTCTTCTACCGCTCACTTTTTCTACCTTTGTGACTTTCTAAATAAGCTTTCTCTTATAGTTTGAAAAAAAGATGAACTAGACTTTCTGTGGGAGGGAAGCGTAATTAAAATGTTGTCTGGTCACACACTAGAGAGATTAAAAAGAAAACTCTTGTCATTTTCCTTGAACAGCTATCCAGGTTGTTGCCCAAATATTCCAAAATATTCAAGTTTGTGGAAAAGAGACCAAAGTGAAGAGCGGTGAAAAGCGCCCCGTTTCCAGGCCTGCTCACCATGCCGTGCCAGGGACAGGGCACCATGTCCAGGCCGCAGTGCAGCACCGCGGCTCCCGAGGGCAACGGCCTCCTCTCCACGCCTGCTGGGCACGGGCTTTCCTGCCCTTGGCCCTTGATCTATGCTCACATTTCATCTGTTGGCCACAGTATCCCACCACCAAATCAGAACGATGTCCACACGAGGCAGGCAAGGATCCGCTCCCAAATATGCCACGCCCCAGTCCCCGGAATGTATGGATATGTTACTTTACACACCGAAAAGGGACTTTGCAGAGGTGATTAAGGTCAGGGACCTTGAGCTAGGAACATTATCCTGGATTATTCAGGCCCAATTTTATCCTGAGTCCTTGAAATCAGAGAACCTTTCCCTGCTGCGAGATCCATAGAGATGGCAGGGCGAGGACTCCGCCCGCTACTGCTGAATCCTGAAGCTGGAAAAGGCAGGGAAACAGACTCTCACCCAGAGCCCCCAGAAGGAAACACAGCCCTGCAGACACCCTGCTCTCAGCCCGTGAGACCTGTGTTGGACCCTGACCCACGGAACTGTATGATAACACATTTGTGTTGATTTATACACCACTATGTTTGCAGTAATTTGTTACAGCAGCCGGAGGAACGAAGGGATCACTTTCCCCTGATTCACAGAAAGAATTAAGGCAGCGGATAAAATTAACTTTTTTCCTCTAACTTGCCCTTGAACCTTCGATATTGCTACTGCCCTATCAGCTGGTGAACTCTAGAGAGCAATGACAAGACAACCAGGGTGGTGTCCTGCTAGGAGCCCCTCCCATGCCTTCCAGATGTTCTGCCAAAAATCAAGTTTGAGAACCACTGACCCAACTACCACAAAGCCTCAGCGCGCAGTGGAAGGTGGTTGCTCTGTGCAGATGGTGGCTCTCCTGGCAGCTAAAACAGACTGTTCGTTCCCCAAAGTTCCTAACCTGCTGGGTGTCAGGGATACAAGAGCAGATGTGTCCCCACCATCAAGGAGCCCACAGGGCGGTAAAACACTAAGACATCAGGAAGTTCATGGTGACGGGGAGCAAGGGAAGAGTGAGCACCTACGCAGACACATCTTCTGCCAAATGACTGCAGCTTTACAATAACTACAGTGAGCAGGCTCCACAGGGTGAGCTGTCAGACTGAATGGAGTCAAGCACCGTCTCCCCAGGTGTTGGTTACCTGGGTTTTTCCTCCCTAACGTGCCCACAGAGCTGGATACGCTTTGCACACTCACCTGTTTCCACATCGTTGGCATTGGCCGAGTCCCTCAGCCTCTTCAGAGCTGTGAAGAGAGTAAGAGAGTATCAGTTAATATATATATTTACATATATATATATATAAAACAGCAGCCGCCACAATGCAGCAGAAAGTGCACAGCTTCCTAGTTACCCCACCACTCAGCTACCGGAGCACCTAAAGAGAAAGAGAGGTGCCAGGATACAAGAGACACCACCCCGGGAACAAGGAGAAACCTGGAATGCGGCACTACTAGTGCAAACGCCACATTCTGTAGCGCCTGCAGCAGCTGGGTGCCTTGGCAGGTTAGCTAACCCAGCTCAGGTCTATCGCTGGCAAAACAGGGCTGAGCTCCGTCCTGACCGCCACGAGTTGTTGCAAAGACAAAACGAGGTGTTTACATGGCAGCTCTCTGTGAACAGGTCACACAGATCATCGTATATTCTCCTTTAAAATAGGCCATTCCCAAAGGCCTTACCTAAATGTGGTCGTTTCTCCTACAATGACACTACCTCTATACTAGAGGCTAATTGAAAGCAACGCCTTTGTCGTCAGGAAAATGGTCACATAGGGGAGGCACATCAGAGCAGAAGTCTGAGCCTGGCCGACTGGCGTGGATACGTTCCTCGCGATGGGACTTGGAGGAAGGCGCTTTCTCTGAGCCAGTTTCCTCCATAGAATGGGCTCCGGATCCGGATCTCAGTGAGTTATTACCGTGAGGGTCAGAAATGCTCACAGTTTGGCACACACAAGGGCAGATTCACACCTATACATGCACTACCTTCCTCAGCGCTCCCCAGGATCTCTTAAAGCAAGCACTACTCATTTTACAGATGAGGGTCTATAGTTTGCTTAAGGCAGAACGAAGTGGAGGAGTCCATCGAGGTCTGTGCATTAAAACCAGCGGGTAGGACTCGGCTACAGGCGCTGGCCTCCCCGCTCCGACAGCAGAAGTCAAAGCATCCCGCGGCGCCCCAGGTTGTTATCTACTGGTAACCCCTGGAGTCGCGGAAGCTTCTATTCAGGAATTAAAGCCTGGGTGACTGGTTCTGGGCAGGAAGGCTTTTCTCCTTTCCATTCATGGTCCACAGCAGTTATACGTAATAATTATTCCTGCTGGAAGGAGACCCAGGGGTGGCACTCGGGGCTCTTAGGTCGGACGTCAGGGCGATGGGGATGGGGGTGGGGGGGTCGGGGCCGGCTCCCGGCGGGGGCCCCGCCCGCCTCCCGCGCGCCGCTCACCGTGCACCTCCTTGCCCAGGGGCCCGAGGCGGCGGTGGGGCCTGGCGGCGCGCCGCAGCCGGCCGGCGGGGATCTTCCGGAGCAGCTCGTCGCGGGGCTCCGAGTCCTGCTGCCACAGGACGTGGAGGTAGCGCAGCGGAGACTGGGCCCCGCCGGACGCCCGGCCCGGGAGGCCCGCGCCGCCGCCCAGCGCAGCCCCGAAGTCCGCGAAGGAGAAGAGGCCCTCGGGGCCCGTCAGCGGCTCCGGCGCCACCGCGCACTCGCCATCCGAGCTGGAGCGGCCCGAGCGCGGCTCCTCGTCCGCGGCCCCGGCGGCGGCTGCCATGGCAACAGCTCCGCTCGGGCCTGGCTGCCGGAGCCTCGTTCCGGACCGACCAACCGACCCACTTCCCTGGTCCCGAAGCCTCGCTGTCAGCGGGCGAGCGGATGGGCCCGACCTGCAACCACGGCAACCGAGCGGGTACGGGCTCGCGTCGCGAGCTGAGCGCTCCGAACCAATGAAAACCCTTCCAGCCTAAGCCCCTCCCTCCAGCAGTGTGACTGACGGACATAAAAGCCAATCATATTTTGGCAGTACCCAAGTTCTAGCCCTACGTCGCTACACGGGAGCCAATAAAATATATTTGAAACACTATTTTTTTCCATTTCCTCTGTCGCAGCACGGGAAAGGTAATGGGCAGATGCTTTAACCAATCACATTAAGATGATCTGCAGCCAATCACGAAGGAAAGTCAAGAAGCCAAACTTTAGGGAGAGGTAAATATGTATATCTTTTAAATCAATGAACATGAAAAAAAATAAATAAATAAAAGAACTTCCCACAACAGCACAGTGTAAGTAGGAAAACGAAGATATGTTAAAATGATGGCCTATCACCACGAACCAAGGAGTGATAGCTTCTAAATGCGATAGATTCCTTTATTCTGGATTCTCTCGGTAACCCCAGCGGTGATCACTGATCTACAAATAATTTTAATTCAACTTAGTTACACCGGAGCGACGCTTCAGTCCGAGAACCAGTCACTGAGCCAGGTAATTGTGTTAGGTTCTGCACACAGGGTCAGACTCCATTCCCGCTGACATACAGTCCTATGGGAGAAGTCAGAGCTGGAAATAGAAAAATATTCCGCAAACAGGTGATGAGTTTGGCAACAGTGCAACTGGGTGCACTGTTTAGTAAGAATTTTCACAACCCTATACCAGAGGAAAGAGTGAAGATAGGGGGTATATAAAATGGAGTCACTTTAACCAAGCTGCTAAAATTATTAACATTATGAAGGTTGAGGCGTGAGGAAAGACTATTCTTGTTCTAACTAGCCCGGTAACTTACTCTTTTAACTTTTCAGTTTTGTGTCAACTCCTGGACATCCATCTGGACATGCATCAGGCCTCCATATAACCCTCTGATTACCCCGTTCCCTAGGACTCATGTATCTAGACTTTCTGACATCTGACTAATAACTCTCTTGGACCAGTCATAGGGCTAAGAATGCAGGGCTGCTAATTATCAAGAATGTACTTTTTACTATAAGAACTTTTCTTTCTTCTCTGGAACACTTCTGGGGTTTTGCCTAGCTCTGTTTCCAGTGTGTATATTCTAGATGCTTGAATAAATCTTTATCTTCATTTCTAGCCAAAGCCTCCAGACTCTTTTCAAGTCTGTTCAACATACCCACAAACCTTTCTGTAAAGTGGACAAAGAGGACCATCCCTATTTTATAGGTGAGGAGCTGAAACCAGAGAGAAAAGGGAATTGTTCATCGACGTCCAGCTTTCTTGGGACTAGGGCTGTGTCCAGGCAAATGGTGCTCCTGGAACACCATTGTGAGGTTTAACACTGAACTATATAAACGAAAATGTTATTTGATCTCCTCTGGCCCATAACTGATAAGGACATGTGCCAACTCCACTTGTAGCTAGAAGAAAACAAAGGAAAGAAATAAACATTGAACATGTTCCACTTACCAAGTGCTTTATATATATTATATCATTTAGTTCTCCCTCCCAAGGACATTAGAAGGTAGGTATTATTATACCCATTTGCAAATCAGTAAATTGAGGTCCTCAGATGTATGAATTGTCCAAGGTACAAGGCTAGAATGTTGAAGAACTGAGATTTGAACCTTGAAAAGTCCTCTCCATCATACTACTTTTTTTAAAAAAAATGAAGAACCTGCTGGGAACTTGCTTAAACCAAAGACATCTGGGTATTTAAGCCTCATGCTTGCTGAATGTACCCTGAAATAACTATTATTTATCCCTCCTTTTTTTCCATGTAATAGCCTCCACAATAGTGTTCATCCCTTCCATCTCTCCTTGTAGAACCATGGTGCACAAGCTGCCTAAAGCACAATTCTCTTCATGTCTCTAGGATCTGCCTGCCCATTGCGTTCAGGTAGCATCCAAACCCTTTGTCCTAGCAGTCAAGACCATTGTCTTCCTCCTACACCATGAGGGTCTGGTCTTCAGGAAAGCAGATCTACTAATATGTTTGCATTGTCACAATCTTTTAATTTGAGCAGGACCCCTAAACATCTAGAGGTGGTTGCTACAGCTAATTTTCAAATCAACTTTGTTAAAGTATAAATCACATGGCCCAATCATCTATGTGTTTCAAGAACTACCTGTTATTTTGAATCAGAAGAATAGAATGTGGGTTGAATGTGGACTCAGTTAGCCTCAGCCTCAGGGTTTTAGACTGGAATTTGGCTCTATGAAGTTGTGTTCCCCCATAACTCCTGGCTCAGCAACTGGCACCAGCACATTGTAACTATTTTACTGAATGAATGAATGAATGAATGAATGAATGAGTAAAGATAGTCCAGCCCAGTGGTTAAGGCCATCAACTTTGGAGCTGTAAATATGTGGGACTATGGCGTTGAGCAAGTCATTTTTACTTGCTAAGCCTCAGTTTCCTCATCTGTAAAATGGAGGTAATAGTGGTACCTAAATCATGTGATTATCACAGGACTGAATGGTATGATGTGAGTAAAGCACCCAGTATTGAGCTTGGCACAAATTTAGTGCTCAAAACAGGGATACCTGTTGGTGTTATTATAAATAAGGGTAGGATGCATGCAAATTCTACACAACAGTGGGCATATCACACTGGCTTGAACTTGACCTAAGGCTAAAGCTTTCATACACAAGTCATTTAAATTTGGTCAATCGGCAAATAAAACCTGAAGCACTAGATGAGAGACAAAGAAACTACCTCTGTTTGCCTTGCGGGGAAAGCTTCTGCCTGGAAACCCAGGGACTTGGGGTTTTAAGTCCTGCCCAGCCCAAACTTACCTCATGATTTGGGAGTGTTTCCTTTCTTTGGGCCTTAATCTTCCCATAAGAAGGTTTTGTTCTAGGTCAGATAATGACACTGGGTCAGGCCAGATTCATCAGGTTGGTTTTCTTTTCATTTCCATCATCCTGTTGGCCTTTACAGTATCTTAGAGCAATTTGAACTGGTTGCCAACATATAAAAATTGAGAGCTTTCACATAAAATTTTCTATTTCCAGATTCTCTTAAAAATGGGAAAGTATGGCAATATAGGACCAGCTCTCCCACAGGGCAACAGTTGGCTGGAGCTGCACAGCAACTTTCCCCTTCAGATGGGGAATGGTGTTCTGGTTTGCCACAGTCCCCACTGCTCTGTTACCTCCACATTGAGGCCTAAAGGCAGTTGCCCCTTATTGTCATACCTGTGCTATTGTTTTTCCCATGCAGAGTTAAAAGGAAATTAATATATTTCTTGTCTTTATGAAACATGGAATAATGAAAATGTGTGGAGAAAAATTACCTAGTATCTGAAAATACGATGTGGTGATTAAGTGACTTGTTGGTATGCTGGAGAATTTCTTTTATTTTTATTTTTTTAAAAAAAGTTTGAGAACTTTTTAAAAAAATATATTTTATTGATTTTTTTACAGAAGAAAGGGAGAGGGATAGAGAGTTTGAAACATCGATGAGAGAGAAACATTGATCAGCCGCCTATTGCACACCCCCCGTCCCCCCGGGAATGTGCCCACAATCAAGGTACATGCCCTTGACTGGAACCGAACCTGGGACCCTTCAGTCTGCAGGCCAATGCCCTATCCACTGAGCCAAACCGGCTACGGTGAATTTCTTTTTTAAAAATATATTATTAATTTCAGAGAGGAAGGGAGAGAGATAGAAACATTGATGAGAAACATCAATTGGCTCTCTCCCGCACACTCTCTACTGAGGATCAAGTTCACAATCCAGGCATATGTCCTGATGGGAATCAAACCAGCGACTTCCTCGTTTATGGGTCAATGCTTAACCACTGGGGCACACCAGCCAGGCGAGGCTGATGATTTTTGACAAATGTATACATTCATGTAACAACCATCCCAATCAAGAACATGACAACTATATTTTTAACAATTTGAGAACTGTGATTTTAGGCTACAGAGAGAGGGCCCTGTGTTTTCAGAAAAGTAACTGAATATTTATTTATGGGCAAGAGCAATATTCTTCCACGTCAATGGTGAAAGAAAAGATACAACCTCCCTGGCCAGGTTACTCAGTTGGTTGAAGTGTTGTCTTGTGCACCGTAAGGTTGAGGGTTTGATTCCCAGTCGGGAGCATGTTTCTCTCCTGCCCCCTTCTTTCTTTCTTTCTCAAATCAGTAAGCATATCCTTGGGTGAGGATCAGAAAAAGAAAAGAAATAAGGGATACAACTAACATGGTCAGGAAAAAGCTTGCTACTTCACTGTTTTTCTCCTATCGAGTGGACTCCTATACCAGAAGATCCCTAAGGATGCTTCTAGTTCTGATTTATAAAGACTGAGCGACTGCTCTCCCAGGGCCCACACATTATTGCAGTAAAGGAGGGTAGAGAGGGGCTTGTGAGATAGAGCATGCTCAGGATAGTGAAACAAATAGGACAGTAAGTGAACTACAAACACAAGGTTCTTGGGAAGTGAAGCTTGAAATGAACCCAGCTGAACAGCCCAGGCCGACTGTAAAATATAACTAATGGCTTCTCTGAGTCAGAGAAGTTCCTGCCTCAAATCCCAGGCAAGAGATGAAGAGAATCAGGGCAGTTTTTCAGCTGCTAAATTCTCTCCACAACTCCCCCAGGTAAAATTCCAAGGGCTTTGGTCTGTCTGTTGGAAGTTTGTTTCCCTTTGAAGTACTGTGTTTCCATTAGCAAGGGAGCCTTGCAAAATTGCCCTGTTTTCAGAAACGTCATAGTCTGTAATGGAGTTCCAGCTGTTTTCAGATCAAAGTTGCATTTCTAAGCAGACTTCATGTGCTGCCAAGAAATGGCCTGTTTCAACTCAAAGCAATTCTGCAAATATGGATTGAAAATTGGAAGCAGGAGAGTGAGGCAGCTATTACAATACAAGTGAGATGATGGAGGCTGGGACAAGAATGATAGCGACACGGTGGTGAGAATTGAGCCTGGGAAGATTTTGAAGATAGAGCCGACAAAATGCAGATGCATCAAA